AGAAAACGAAAAGATAAGAGAATGACCACAAATAAATAGATAGGTAAGAGGCAGAACAACGAAATAGATGAAAGGCGAAGCGCATTCCCTTCCTTGCAGCATTCCCTTCAATCCCATTCGTGGCTATCTGAATTATTGCTATTGATCCAACCTCCATCAATTCCTTTTGAAAAAGGGGCCTAGCGCTTGAAAGCATCAATTCCATAAGCCTTAGGGTTAGAAGTTCCTTGCTTTCCTTAGGTCAATCAATCAGGTTAATCCTGCCCAACTTGCATTCTCTTCCTAGTGTGGGTTCAATGACAATTAAACTAGAAATACTATTCGAATTGTATAACTCGAGTTCGACTCAAGTTCAAAAATTTAGAAGCATGCAGTGCTCAAATTAAAAGTTAGTTTAATATTAAAGATTTTATAAATCAAATTACGCCCGAGTTGAGCTTAATTTGATATAATTGAGATTTTATAAATCAAAGATCCTAATTATTATATTCTTGATACAAAATTAATACAATTTTTTTTTTTTTTGGTTTGTGGGTTAGAGAACCTTCAAATTTAGTTCTGGTTGGGGTGAAACCCGGAGTTGCATCGGGCCCAGCCCAGAAAAATAAAGATTTCGCTAATTTTTTGTCTTGTGGGCAAGATATGTGCCCAAAAATAGGCTTGAGATTGGTCCGGGCCAATAACTGGCCCAGGCCAAAGGTCATGGGTTGTGGCCGACCCACCCGATATCCATTGCCTGCATTTTGTTAATTTCTTGCTCAGAAATCATGCGTTTGGACCCATTTTTTAACTTCTCTTTTGACTTACTGATGATCACTCAAGTCGTGTTTGGATGGCTGTATAAAGCAGTTGAACAGATGTAGGGTTTGATATAATTGAGATGGACTCCAACTATCCTATGTTTGGGGAAAGAAAAACAAAAAAGATGGAAAATCTCTTTCGAGTTCATCTTGACCCGATATAAATAGTGCATTTTAGCTACATAAATAAGTTAAATGTAACAAATGAGCTTGGTGGGTTAAAAATTGTTTTAGGCGCAAAAGAGAAGCCATGACAGGTGGTATGTTCCATCCTTTACGCTTTTTTGAATATACATTATTTTTTGTTCCGTCAATTCTCCAAAAACATATGGTAATTCATTGTATATAATCCTGATATCGTATGTAATTTTATAACTTATCAAATGATTACATTAACCTCAATATTAGATTAACTAGTCATATCCCGTATTTAAAGACACAAAAAAACTTAAAATTCTAGCGGCAAAAAAATCTAATCCAATATATTAAATAATAATTTTTTTCCTTCATTTATTTGATTACATAATGTAAAATTTATTTTTATTCATTATTTTCTTAAAAATAACGACAATTTTTTTTTTCAAAATACATAATTTAACAATTTTCTCAATATATGTGATAATATTTAAAATAAAAATTATATTAAATTATAAATTAATTAAATATAAAATGATTGAACATGTGATGAGATGGGTGATGTGATGGAATTGAGGAGAGAAATATGTAAGGAATAAAATTTAATTTCTCATGTAATTTATTATATAAATATTGAATAAAATAAGGGGTCTGATGATAAAATATTCAAAAGTAAAGTTCTAGTGGCTTCAATCAATTGGGTTAATCCATTACTCAACGAATGCAAATGTCTCATAATTGCAATTTGTCTGGGTAGAACGAAATGGGTCTGACATTTTTGAGATTTTAACAAAATTTTATAAATGGATCTGTAAATTAAAAGCTCAATTTATAATGTTCCCACCCCGTGAGGATTAAAACGATGCTACGAAGTCCTTTCCAAGGGCGGTCCTGAGGCCTAAAGTGAAAAAGATAAGTGAGATTTTTTTTAATATTAATAATAAATCTAATTTTTAATTTTTTAAAACACAAAAATTATATTAAAATTTTATATTCAAACTTTTGTTACAATATTTGAGCTTGATGTTAAGAGAGAGAATAAATAATTAAAAAATTATGATGATAAATTTAAATTCGACTTTTCTGGAAGTTTAGACTATATTTTTTAGTAGTTTTAGCTTTACTGTTAGATTTTTTTTTTTTTTTAAAAAAAATTTTAGAGATTTTTAATTTCATGACTGAATTAATAAGTACAATCTACTTAAGTTGAAATCTTTTGTTTAGCCATAAATTTAAATATTGTACTTAAATTATTACTATACACTTATAAATTATAAGGCCTTTTTCTTAAAGTGAGGGTTTAATTTTTTTTTAATTGAGCTTGTATTTTTATAAGACTTTTTTGTATGGTTTAAAATATTAATTTTTTTATATAAATTATTTATTATATCTAAAAATTTTTAAAAAATAAAATTTAGAGATAATGGGATGTGAATACATTTTTCAAAACTTATTTGACTTAAAGTATCACCTCTGAACTTATTCTCCTTTAAATCATCTTTTTCATCAAATAATTGTCAATAAGTACACATTTTAAAACAATTTAAAATTTTTTGTAAAATTTATTCCATAATTACCCCTAACATAAATAATACATATCTACTTAAATATGAGAATTTCAAGATTCTTTTTAATATTTGTGTATCATTTAAATTTTGAAATTCTATATATATATATATAGACACACACACACACACACGTAGTACAGTGACATTAAATAATGACACACTCAACAAAAAAATAGTAACATCAAACAATGATACGCTCAACAAAAAAAGAGTAACATTAAACAGTGAAACGCTCAACAAAAATATTTGTATTATTGTTTGATGTTATTATATATTTGTTGAGTGTGTTACTGTTTGATGTTACTAATTTTTTGTTGAGTGTGTTACTGTTTGATATTACTATTCTTTTGTTGAGCGTGTCACTGTTTGATGTTACTGTTTTACGTGTGTGTATGTGTATATATATATAAAATTTCAAAATTCAAATGATACACAAATATTAAAAGAAATCTTAAAAGTCTCACATTCTAATATTTAAAGTCTTACATTCAATTAAGTATATACTATTTATAATAGGAATAAAAGGGTTTTTATGAATTTTTTTTAGCATATGTACTTCTATTTCAATTATTTTAAAATATATATTTTATCTTATTAAATTTTTTGAGAGGTACCTCTAAAATTTAAAACCCAAACTTTTTCAATAATATTTTGTTCAACCGCCCCGTCCTCTGCTTATCAACCTTTCCGTTGGTTGGTGTCTTGGGCACGGCGACAAGTCTTCTGTCGTGCTGAGTTAGGCAATGCCGTGTGGGTCCCTCCCCCACAAAAAAAAAAAAAAAAAAAAATCTATTCATGTGACGAGGATTCATAATTAGGTATACGCGACACACAGCGTACATAATCCTGTGCATGAAGCTCTTGCGTAGGTTTTTGTAAATGCGTTCCTCAAATTTGTACCGACGAGGAAGCTTCTTGGATTCGTGTTGTGCATGGAGTTCTTGGGTCCAAATGAGTATTTCAGATTCGTACTGACAATAACTCGTGTCGTTTTGAATTTAAGATTTGCCTCATATAATTTATTGTCATGTCAAAATATATATAATTTATACTTTATAGTCACTAATTTGATAATTGTGTATAGCTGTATTTGTCATTGTGCCATGTCCACTTGGTGCATTGAATAAGTTGAGTTTGTGATTTTGTATTTATTTTGACAAATTTAAGGAGTTATTCATTACCATTCAAATATGTTAAATTAAATCTGAATTTTTAACAACTTTAAATTCTTATCTCTCCCAAATTAAGCCTGATTTAAATGGATTTCAATCATATTTTCATTCAATTTTACTTAAATCTAGATAATTTGTCATAATATGTTTGAGATCCACCATTTACACTTTTACTTGTACACAAATTAATAATCTATTATTCATTACAATTAGGAAAAAAAATGTGATAGAGAGAATGTCGCCTAAAATATTAGGGGTGTCAAACGTGTCGGGTTAAAAGGTTGCGTGTTGGGTTAAATTGGTGATGAGTAGAAAATATATAAACTCGTACACGACACGTTTAATAAACGAGTAAAAAATCTCAACACTAACACTATTAAATAGGTAACATGACACGACTCGTTTAACCAGTTTAATTTTAAAAAAATTATATCAACAAATTTTAATACTCCATTTTTTTTTACTGTCAACTGCACTTACTTCAAAAAAAGAGAAATTTTTAGTCAAATCTCATAAAAATAAAACTTGAAGGCTTAAAAAAAAAAAGAGACTATTGTCTTTTACAGGCAACTCAGCCCTCCTCATCTCCCATCATTTTTCAATGTGAGACAAAAACAAAACATATTGATTTACTTTTATCCTTGAAGTGCTCCCCATCTCTCATCTCCTTTGTCTTTTAATTACTATTTTACTTCTTTTTTTATTGATTTCTTTACTTCTTTTTTTTTACTAATTTTTTAAAATAATTATTAATTTATTATTATATTAATTTTATTTATATGGGTAAACATGTGATAAATAATTTGATAGATCTCACCCGAACACAACTCATTTATTAAACATATTTGACGTGTCAGACCGTTTATCATCTAAACTCGTTAAAATCTCACTCAAACTCATTTAGTTCGTGTTGATTCATGTTGATTAATCGCATCATATCCGAATTTTGACAGCCCTGTAAAATACTGACCGTTAAAATCTCATACTGATTCTCGATCATTGCATTACTCAAACAGATAAGCAACACTGTATCATCAAACGTTGACTCCATCTCAGTCCTCCTTCAAACATCAACTCTTCCATGTAACCTGCCCTCCCCTCCCGTTAATGGCGGCTCTTATTCTTCTATATTCTCTCCGTCAACGCTCCCATCTTTTATGCCCAATAACCAAAATTCTTCACCTTCAGAAAAGACCCAACTCACCAATCAGACGCAACCAGAAGAGAACAAGCCAAACCCATTTCTCTCTCTTCCACTAACCCCCCTCTCTCTCTCTCTCTCTCTCTCTGTCTGTGTCTTGGATGTTCTGTGTCTGTCTCGAGTTATGCTGGGTTCAATGTTCCAAGCCGCGGTCGCTGCTGCGGCCAGCTTCTTTCTGGTAGGCTTAATGTTGGCCGTCATCCTCATACTCTGCAAATCCACCAAAAAACGACGTCGTTCGCAACCTCAACCCCGTACTCGGACCCAAGATCTAGCTGTCCCCAATTCGGACCATTCCTCCATCACAATCGGCGAGAGCGCGTTGTTCGACCCGTTATTGAACCGGGTTTCCATGCAGGAGCTCCTCCAGGTGACCAGAAATTTCCACCCGGAACTCATCATCGGCGACGGCAGCTTCGGCATCGTCTACAAGGCCAAGCTCTCCGCCGGCGTCACTGTCGCAGTCAAGAAGCTCGCCGCAGACGCCTTTCAAGGCTTCCGAGAATTCCGGGCCGAAATGGAAACCCTAGGAAAGATCCGACATAAAAACATAGTCCAAATCCTTGGCTATTGCGCAACAGGTTCAGATCGGGTCTTAATTTATGAGTTCATCGAGAGAGGTAGTCTCGACCAATGGCTTTATGACACATCATCTTCTTGGGAAAGCAGTGAAACCGAAATGTCATCATCGTCCCAGAGGTTACCGTTATCTTGGGGGGCGAGAATCAATATAGTTAGAGGAATTGCCACAGCATTGTGTTATATGCACAATTTGGAGACACCCATTATTCATAGGGACATTAAGTCTAGTAACGTTTTATTGGACTCGAATTTTGAGGCACATGTCGCGGATTTTGGATTGGCTAGGATGATTGAGGGGGCACATTCGCATGTGTCGACTCAAGTGGCCGGAACAATGGGGTACATGCCACCAGAGTACTTTAGTGGGGCAACTATGGCGTCGGTGATGGGAGATGTGTATAGTTTTGGAATTTTGATGTTGGAGATTGCTACAGCCCGACGCCCCAATTTGCCTTTTATGGGTGAGGAAGGGAAGGAAATTAGGTTAATTGATTGGCTTCGAAAAATGGTGGAACAGAACAGGCATTTGGAAATGGTTGATGCAAATATACTGAGGGATGAGTTAAAGGAAGACATGGTTGTGGAGTTCTTTAGGATTGCTAAGATGTGTAGCGATGAGGTTTGTAAATTTAGGCCGGGGATGCAAGAGGTTATTGAGTTGTTGGATAAAATTAAGTTATGAAAAATGGATTTCTTCGTGGTATTTTAGCACATTTTAATGGACGTAATAAGTTTGGAATATGGCATGCTGATTGAAATGAATGGATGAAGAGAAAGCGGTTGAGGTGGTCGTTTACTTCTTGGTCTTAATAATCAAGTGAGACCATGAAGGGATGTAAATAGCTAGTGAAGCACATTGACTAAGGTAAATTGTGTTTGAGGATTGTTTAAATTGTATGTTAGTATAAGTTACATTATGCAACTCTTTTTCTATTCATGTTCTATCATAAATTTCCTGGGGTATCCAGTGTTTTTTTTTATTAAATGATAGCTGCTTATCGTTGGAACTTGAACTTTCAGATTGGATGACTTACAAACTTCCATTATGAATCCTAAAATTTGAAGGTCTAAAGCTGTTTTCTTGCAGTAGATGGTGGTAATTTTTAAATATTGTGAAAATGAAAGCGACAGAGTAGTGAACTAACAAATACATCAGGCTTTATTACATTGTAGTGTCCAATCTCCTTGCTGGATATGGTGTATGATTGAGTTGTTTTACAATGATGGCATCACTGTCTGTGCTGCTGGTGATTGCCAACGTGAAGCATCGTTTGGTGGAACTGCGTGAAGCATTTGTTGGGGGGGGGGAGTGAGTTTCAGGGGGAGCTCTTGCTACCATAGATCTGCTTGCTGCATATGGAACTTGCAGTAGTTGTGTGATAACATCTTGCTCTTTATTAGTGTCTAAGCATGAACATATTAATTAATTCATATTGGATGGTTTGCAATTTATGCTGATTCGTTTAGATTATGATTCTTGTTTTTGCTAAATCGATAGCATAGCAATGAACGAACAATATAGGTAAACTAGAAGTAGTCATTGTTTTTGCTGATTGTGAATTTATGGTATAAAAATGCACTTCATATGTCAGATGGAAGGTGGTGGCATCATGTTTCTTGATTAACTATAGGCATTTGCTAGTTTTAATGGAGGGAAGCTTTCTGTTTAGTTCTGGGCAGAAAACAAGATCACTGTTTATTGTTTCCGATGAATTTAAATATTTTTTCCTTTAGTCGCTACCTTGTTCAAAAGTATTGTTGGTTTACTTTGAAATTGATTGAAGCATTCGTCCTCACCCCTTTCCCCTCCCCTTATGCCAACTTACTCTCTCCCCTTTTAGTTGGTTACATAGTCAGAGAAATAGCATTGCTGTATTGCCTCTTTTCATTTGTACACATTCCATCATCAACCTGTCCTATGCCTGTCTATATTATAACGTCTTCGGTTTACAATCTCAGAATGCACGGGTTACGTTTTTAACAATGTTTCATAGGGATTAATTATGTGTTTGGTGACTAAACTGTATGTAGTTTCGTTCGAATGAATCTTTTGTATTTTAGAAGAGACATATTTTATTTATACCCTCTTACAATAATCATGCCTCGTAGAAGATTTTATTGGCCTATTTTTACCATTATTTGGGCAAGTTTTAAAATATTTTAGTATATTTAGATCAATATATTGGAAATATATTTTTAAAATTTTTATTCTCTTCCAGTCTGTTTTTGAAGTATTGTTAAAATATTTTTATTTTTTAAGTGATCGAAGTAATATACATACTAAAACGAAAACGAAAGGGTGGTTGGGGCTGCCATATTTTCAGCCCACCAAACATGATTGAGGGAATGGGCCTTGAACTAAGCGCCCACCACTGGCACAAAAAAGTAGGCCTTCCATTGGACATTTCATTCGTCCAAGTTAGAACCCATTCAAAAAGTACCGAATGGACTTCCAAGGCTATTTTGTACCTACCTTTCATCTATTCAACCAAAACACACATATGATTGGTATCTTGGAGAAAATGTTCGTGAGAGTTTTTTTTTTCCTTCTCCTCTAACAAAACATTTGGGGAGGTTAAAATAATCCAAACCCCTCATGTATGGTTTTAATTGAGTCATATTGGATTCAGGTCCGTCTCTCATTATTTACAAACCCAAAAAAAAAAAAGTCTCATTAGAAGATTCATATTGAATCACTTAAGAGAGCTAAACTTTTGAAAACAATGAGAACAATTTTAGATTTTAATGAGGTTTGCCCTTCGAATCTCGTTAGCAGCAAATTTCTTCATTCTTTTTTTTTTTTAACTTCTTCCTCTCTCTCATAATATAATATATATATATATATATATATTAAAGTTTGGTTTATTGAATTTTTTTTATGAAATTATCAATCTAAAAATAATTTTCTTATATTTTTTTACTAATGTTTGAATTACTATTCAAACATATATTTAGGTTGTTTAAATAGGTTTTACTATTTTTTGTACTGTAAAATTATTTTTCAAATCATCTAACCAAACAAGTCCTCAGAATTATGTCACGTATTTTCTTCAACCAAACCCAACAGTAGTAGACCACCATAAACTAAAAATTGAATCGAATCCAACAGCTAGCAAAACTATGTAAAAAAAAAAAAATCTGTTAGTTTTACGAAATTTCATTCAGTATCATTAAAAAATATACAAGTATGAAAAATTAGATATTTTTCGTACAATATTAGATAAACGAATTTATTTATTTGACACCAACTTATAAACTGTTATTACTCAACTTGATCGCTTGTGTCATTTTTTATTTCCAGTCGAGAATCATATGGTCAAATTTAATCCATTAATCTCTTGCTAATATATTAAGATATCGTGTAAAATTGCCACCCCTACCCTCATTCCCCCATCACGGTTCATAGTAAATCTTGCACGAGACAGAATGATTTCATTTTGGCTCTCATCGAAAGAGGAAGGTGCCCGACAGAACCAGGGGTTTATTTGGATGAATTTTTGGAGAGAGTTTGAATTCACTTCTCCGAATTCTTTCAAACACAAACCTCTTTATAAAGATGAGATTCAACATTGAATCCCGTCCATGCCCATAATACATACACATGCAGAACTCACAAATGTATTATAATTATTAACAACTATTTGTCACATAAATGATTATTTTGTCTTTGATCAATCCAATTCATACCTATGTTAAAGAATACAATTGTTTTTTGTATTTTTGACCTTTTAACCCATTTTTTCAAACCCACCCTCATAAGTTTGACGAAATCCATGATTATGAGTTTAATATTTGGACCAATTGCGGGGCTCAGTTTGAGAACCCAAGATTGAATTTTTAAGGAAAATTTGTAGTTTGGTCCCCTATATAAACTTATTTGGACTTAAATTCGTCAAAAAAACTTATTTGTTATGAAATCTGTTTTTTATCAATTTTACCAGACTATCATTTCTCTTTAAAAGTAAAGTAAAATTAAAAATTAAAAACTCATAAATTTTAAAAGTTTGACTAACATTAAAAAATTTTCTTTTTCATATTTATTTATATCCATATATAGGTTAGGATTATATATATAGTAACATTAAAAATAAAAAATTGTAAAATTCAAAAAAAAAAGAAAGTATTATTTAAACACAAAAAATAATACATTGAAGAAAGAAATGATATCTAAAGAGAAAGATTTGTCGATGATGTTCTAAACCTTACTGATTGTAATACTATGAAGAAAGAAATGATATCTAAAGAGAAAGATTTGTTATACTGGAGTGATGATCTTCTTTTAACGAGAGAGAGAGAGAGAGAATGTAAATTTCAATTTCAATTTAAAAGTGAATTAAGGGATAATAATTTCTAATTTATGAAATCAATTTAAAGTTACTTTCAAGGTCTTTAAGATTTATATAATTAAACAAAATAACACTGTTAAAGGTATTTTTGAGATTTTAAAAAGTAGTGGATTTAAGTACTTATTGCTAAGATAAAAATTGGATTTTTTACCAAATAAGTTCCTTGACAGACTCAAGTCATTATATGTCCATTCAGGAGGACTTAATCCCAATTTTCACAATTTTTAATCCAAACTTAGAGCTTAGAGTCTTTTGAACTATTTTTCTCAAAAATATCTTGCCAACCTCCCCGCTTCCCCACCCCCAAACCCTTTGCCAAACACCCCATTGGGGTTGGGGACTCCATTGCACAAACACAGTAGTGATGATGATGATGACAACATTTAGATTATACACATGATGTAGTTATATAAGAATGTGCCAACAGTTTTGGTCAAGTGTTAAAAACCACGTTGATAGAAAAAAGTTACTTGGATTTGAACACAACATGACACTTGGAGATTAAGCCCTCAAACAAGACTAATCACTTTACTAGTTGAATTAGACTATACGCATCTATATATAGATATTGGGGATCAGACTAATAATATATGGAGTAAGTTTTTCAACCTTTTTTTTTTTTAAAAACCAACAACATAAAAGTTTATAATGACTAGAACGCAGTAGAAGATATGCTAGTTGTTGATGGTGTTCCAAACTCTACTAATTTTGATACTATGGAGGAATAAACAATATCTAACAAGAAAGATTTGTTATACTGTAGTGATGATCTTCTTCTAACGAGAGAAAGAGAGAGTGAGAGAGAGAGTACAAATTTAAATTTCAATTTAAGAGTGGATTAAGGGATAATAATTTTGAATTTAAGAAATTAATTTAAAGTTATTTTCAAAGTCTTTAAGATTTCTATAATTGAACAGAATAACACTGTTACAAATATTTTTGAAATTTTAAAAAATAGTAGACTTAAGTATTTATTAGTGAGATAAAAAATAGGCTTATCACCAAATATATTTTTTCTTGACAGACTCAAGTTATTATAAGTGTATCTAAGAGAATTTAACCCCAATTTTCACAATTTTTAATCCAAATTTAAGATTTGGAGTCCTTTAAATTATTTTTCTCAAACTCGTCTTGCAAAACCCCCCTCCCCCAACATACCATTTACCAAACACCCAATTAGGGGTGGGGACTCTATTGCACAAACACAGTAGTGATGACAATGATGACAATATGTAGAGTATACACATGATGTAGATATATAAGAATCTACCAACAATTTTAGTCAAGTGTTAAAAACCACGTTGATAGAAAAAGTTACTTGGGTTTGAACACAACATGACCACTTGGAGATTAAGCCCTCAAACAAGACTAATCACTTTACTATTTAGTTAGACTATACCCATCTATATATAGATATTGAGGATCAAACTAATAACACATGGAGCAAATTTTTTAACATTTTTTTTTTGAAAAGCAACGATATAGAAATTCATAATGACTAGAACGCAATAGAAGATATGGTAGTTGTTAATGATGTTTCAAACTCTATTGATTTTGATGCTATGAAAAAAGAAATAATATCTAAGGAGAAAGATTTGTTATATTGGAGTGATGATTTTCTTTTAATGTGAGAGAGAGAGGGAGAAAACAAATTTAAATTTCAATTTAGGAGTGGATTAAGGGATAATAACTTTTAATTTAAAAAATTAATTTAAAATTACTTTCAAGGTCTTCTATAATTTGACATAATAACATTGTTAAGGGTATTTTTGAAATTTAAAAAAATAATAGACTTAAGTATTTATTAGTGAGATAAAAAATAGACTTATCACTAAATATGTTTCTTTGACGAACTCAAATCATTATAAATCTATCTAGAAAGACTTAGCCCCAATTTTCATAATTTTTAATCCAAACTTGGGGTTTGGAGTCTTTTAAACTATTTTTCTTAAACTCATCTTGCCAACCCCCTTCCCCCTCCACATACCCTTTACCAAATACCCCATTGGGGTTGGGGACTCCATTGCACAAACACAGTAGTGATGACCGATGATGACAACATGTAGAGTATACACATGATGTAGTTATTTAAGAATGTACCAACAGTTTTGGTCAAGTGTTAAAAACCACGTTGATAGAAAAAAAGTTACTTGGGTTTGAACACAGCATGACCACTTGGAGATTAAGCCCTCAAACAAGACTAACCACTTTGCTACTATAGATGCCATATGATCAAATTTAATCCGCTAATCCCTTGCTAATATATTAAGATATCATGTAAAATTGTCACCCCTACCCTCGTTCCCCGTCTCGGTTCATAGTAAATCTTGCACGAGACAAAATGATTTCATTTTGGCCCTCATTAAAAGGAGAAGGTGCTCGAGAGAACTGGGTGAACTGGAACGCTTGCAGTTTGTTGGGATGAATTTTTAGGGAGCGTTTGGATTGATTTTCCTAAATCCTTCCAAACTCAAACTCTTCTTTACAAAGATGAGATTCAACATTGAATTCGGTCCATACCCATTTTTGGTATGCAACACATACACATGTAGGACCCACGGATATATCATAATTATTAACAACTATTTATTCTATAAATGACTATTTTACTCTTAATCAATTCAATTCATACCCATATTAAATGATATAATTGTCTTTTGTATCTTTAACCCCTTAACTCATCTTCTCAAACCCATCCCCCCTAGGTTTGACAAAATCCATGATGATGGGTTTAATATTCAGGTTAGGTACGGGTTAGGTTTGAAAACCCAGAATTGAATTTTTAATTCAAACATGAAGTTTGAGAGTCCTTTAAACTATTTTTCTCAAACTCATCTTGTCAAAACCTCCCCCCATCCCCTTACCAAACAACCCCTTGGGATTGGGGACTCCTTTGCACAACACACGGTAGTGATGATGATGACGACCAGGGGTGTCAAACATATCGAGTTAAACGGTTATGTATTGGGTTAAACGGGTGAAGAGTGAAAAACATATAAAACCATACACGACACGTTTAATATATGAGTGAAAAAGCTCTATACGAACACGATTCGTTTAATAAATGAGTAACACGTCACAACTCGTGTTGGGTAGGGTTGGGTTAATACGGTAAATCACTCATTTGACCTATTTACCCGTTTCTTTAAAAATGTCATGTAACCTAACAAACTAACACAAAAAAATATGATATTTAGAAATACCACACCACATTACAAAGTACAAATCACAATCCAAAACAACCAAATTCCACTAACAACTATATTATAAATCATAAATACAATCCGAAATAACACAAGTACACTAAAGAACAATTACACCAATGCTGATACCCAATAATAAAAATAGGCAGGATGTTGATATCAATTACAGAATGTTGATTAATCAAACTCAAGCATGTATTTTGATATCAAGCCAACACAATAACCTTAACCATATATTCTGATATCAAATAAATAAGGTCATTTAAGCTAACACAAATACACAATAACACAATAGCCTTAAGCCATACAGATTGCTGATATCAGGCAATTTGTTGAATTTAGGAGCATATATTCCGTCATATATTCTGTTTTATGTTCCTNAATGCTGTTATCAGGCAATTTGTTGAATTTAGGAGCATATATTCCGTCATATATTCTGTTTTATGTTCCTATGCATATATTATGTTAGACAATCTGTCAAATTATTCTGGGACTCAATTTCAAAGAGGGTTGGTGGGTAGGGGTTTAATCTAGGTTTTAATTTCAAAGGGAATTACTGGGTAGNATTGCTGATATCAGGCAATTTGTTGAATTTAGGAGCATATATTCCGTCATATATTCTGTTTTATGTTCCTATGCATAAATTATGTTAGACAATCTGTCAAATTATTCTGGGACTCAATTTCAAAGATGGTTGGTGGGTAGGGGTTTAATCTAGGTTTTAATTTCAAAGGGAATTACTGGGTAGGGTTTTAATTTCAAAGGGGGTTGGTAGGTAGGGTTTTAATCCATGTTTTAATTTCAAAGGAGGTTGACTTCTGGGTATTGCTCAGAAATGTGCAGAGAAAGATAACTTGTTCAACGAAAATGTGGAGAGAAAGTTAGCTTGTTCAACATAAATTGTAAAAAAAACTTACAGCTTTCAACATAAATTGACAAGGTGATTAAACATTTTTCTACTCTTAGTCAGTCTACTTTGCAGTAAATTCAACTGAAGTATCTAAAATTTGATACCATATTAAGTCATCATCNAACTTACAGCTTTCAACATAAATTGACAAGGTGATTAAACATTTTTCTACTCTTAGTCAGTCTATTTTGCAGTAAATTCAACTGAAGTATCTAAAATTTGATACCATATTAAGTCATCATCTACTTTGAAAAATCGAAACTATTTAAGAGAAATGCGATATAAATATTTATTTGAGGTTAGCGGCTAGCCTAATGGCTACCACCCCACTCTTAAATTTTAAAATTACGGATTCGAATCTCCTTATTCCCTTTCCTTATAATAATGTTTGACAAAAAAAAAAAGATATAAATATTTATCTTGTGCTAGAGGAAAGTGTTAGACGCCTTTGTGAACTCACCTTTTTACTTGGATGGAATCTGATTCTGCTATGTGACTTTGGGAAAAGCAAAAGTGACATAAACTTTTTCTTCACTAAAAGCTCAGCCCATAGTTTTACTGCAGAGTGATGTTATGTGCATTAAAATTTGTATTAAATTATTTGTAATTGTTGGATCAATGAGTTTTATCATTGATTCAACGACAATAATTGATTTAATGTAAATTTAGTATATAAATTTAGTACACATAAATTATCCTTTTTGGTATGGTATGTGTATGATTAATTTTAAAGAAAAGGCAGCGCTCTCTTTCTTCTAAACCTAACAAAACACTTCATGCCATCAGTCTTGTAGTACAACCATGGTCGGGTATTTAGGTGTGCTATGTTTCAAAGTGGCATGCACAAAATGAGTACCACCACCAATTTGTAACGTGTGCATGGCTTCTAAGATGTTCAGAACCCTCTTATTGTTTATTTCTTGAGATTAAAAAGATTTTTAAGTTTTGTCAGTGTCCCATAAAACACTCTCTGAAATTTAAAAATGGACACACTCCAGGCTCCTGCTGTCGAAGCCTATACGGATCCAATCGTGAGGAGCTATAACATGTGTACTGAATAGGAATTTAGGTCCTATTTGATTTGCATTTCATAAAATTTTTTTTTTTCTTTCAGACATTGATTCTGAGAAAAAAGTCGTTTGACCAATTTTTTTTGTTTTTATTTTTTGAAAATTGAGTACAAAAAAGGAGTAAATTTGTAGAGAACAAGTTAAGACTGTTTTTTATGTTTTTTAAAACAACATTTTCAAAATTTAGAAAACATCACCTCTATTACCACCACATTTATGTTTTCATTATTTTCTGAGTTATTATCCAAATAAGTTATACGGTTTTCTATTTCGTAAAACTGTTTTTGAATAATATAACCAAACAAGTTCCGCAACATAAAAAATATCAAAATACACTTTTATAAAACTCTTCTTAAAAATAATTTTAAAATATTATTTTTTGAGACAATAACTAAACAAGACCTTAGTTNAAAAATATCAAAATACACTTTTATAAAACTCTTCTCAAAAATAATTTTAAAATATTATTTTTTGAGACAATAACTAAACAAGACCTTAGTTTACAAGTGACTTAACAAATTTTGGAAAGCTATAGGGAAAAGTCCATATCATTTGAGAGTATTCATAGCTCACATCGCTAGAAGACATTGGCAAAAAAATTCTAAACCTTTTGGTGGACGATCATCCTCGACCACATCCCTATATCCATCGATCACCACGCAAATGCACACCTTTTGTCTGATACAAATTAATACAATTTTAATTCGTCTTCACCAAATAGGCGAGAAGGACATGAATACAATTACAACTCTGCGCAAGAGCATGTGAGTTGTGACCTNTTTTTAAGGCAGCAGTCTGATACAAATTAATACAATTTTAATTCGTCTTCACCAAATAGGCGAGAAGGACATGAATACAATTACAACTCTGCGCAAGAGCATGTGAGTTGTGACCTTCTCCATTTATACATGTCTGCCTAAACATAAATCATGGATTCATAAGTACATGCGTATAGTTTGCCTTAGACCGTGAAACCCTTACAGATGATCAGAATTAGCATTAATATTCATTATTTTTACGGCTGGAACCCTTATAGATGACTTTTGTCCAATTTTTCATGGCAAATCGTGGCAAAAATAAAACTCTACCCAGCTGAGAAGAGAAGTCTTTTTTTTTTTTTTTTTTATAATTTTGAAAAAAGTCGAGAAAAATCATAATCGGAGTAATGTGAAACTCAAACTAATAATTTAAGGTAAAATATAGGAAAACTGATAACCTAAGGGGCAATGTGAAATGAGAGGCTTAGTTCAAGGGGTGAAAGTGTATAATTTGGTCCTCTATAAATTTGCCTCAAGTGATGTTGCCTTGAACAACCCCAAAGGAATCAACCATGGCTTTAACTTGTGCTTCTTCGGCCTTTCTTCTTTTTATCATCTCTCCACTTTTATTTTGTGGCTATTTTCTTGTCACAGAAGCTCAAAGCTCTCAACCAATAGTGGAGGGACTGTCATGGACTTTCTACGAATCTAGCTGCCCTAAACTGGAATCCACCATAAGAACACAGCTGAAGAAGGTTTTCAAAGAAGACATTGGCCAAGCTGCTGGCTTGCTTCGCCTACACTTCCATGACTGCTTTGTCCAGGTATATATATGTGTGTGTGTGATATATATATAAGTGTTGTCAAGTGCTTCATTTATGCCAAAATGCCGATATTTGTGAGCTTCAAAAGGTTCAATCTATTTCCAAACTAAAAGGACTGAAAAACACCAATTCCCCCNGTGTGTGTGATATATATATATATATAAGTGTTGTCAAGTGCTTCATTTATGCCAAAATGCCGATATTTGTGAGCTTCAAAAGGTTCAATCTATTTCCAAACTAAAAGGACTGAAAAACACCAATTCCCCCTGCAAGAGGCACACCAGCACTTCAAAAACTCTAGTGCTCAGAACAAACTGATTATGATCAGAAACTAGGGAAGAATATTTGTTTTTTAGAAGGTATTGTTCCAAGCACGCACCTTTTTTTTTTTGTGATAGTGCTGTTATAATAAATTTATTTGTTATCATAAATATTATTTGAGATGAGTCGTTAAGGTCATAAACATTTTTTGAGACTCTACTTATTATGACAAGCAATGCCGCCACAACCCCTCACCGCAATATGTGGAGTCTCAAAAAAATTTTATGACGATATATTTATGGCAATAAATAAATTTTTTTATAATAACAACCACAATTTTTTTTTCTTAAGAACACTTTTTTTTTACGCGGACATATATAGCTGCTGCAAAAAATTGGTAAGACTAATTCTTCTTGCAGTGAGTCTCGAAGGAATAGTTTTACACCACTGCCCACTTGCTTGCAGATGCAAATGGCTTGCCAATGCATTATTTATTTGTAACTAATTATATGGTGTTTTACAGGGATGTGATGGTTCGGTGCTTCTTGATGGATCAGCCAGTGGGCCAAGTGAGAAGGATGCACCTCCAAACCTGAGTCTGAGGGCTGAGGCGTTCAAGATCATCGACGACCTCCGTCGGCGAGTGCAAAAGCAGTGCGGTCAGGTTGTCTCCTGCGCTGATATCACGACTCTCGCGGCCCGTGATGCTGTTTACCTGGTGAGTATATAAAATGTTGAAATATATAAACATTTATGTCATAATTTTTTTAACCTTATAAAATTTAGTTCATGATGTTTTTTTTTTGGATCTGAAGGTCATGATTAGTATAGTCATGTTTTGCATAAAAATGAAGATCAATTCCATAGTTACTCAAAGAAACCCAACTAGAGCTTCATAACACGAGACTGATCAGTTGTAAAGATCTATCTAATCAGAAATCTAATTCAATGTAAATTACTTGTGAATTTTAATACACTTGTCATTGAATTAAGTTTTTTAAGTTCCAAATTTGAATCCGGATATCATTCTGCAAATTGTTTATCTTTAATGTTCTGTTTAGTATGATAAAAAATGGATCGATGAAAGTTTGAGAGATAAATAAAATATCATATTTGATAAGGAAGAAAAATAAAAAGGATGGAAAAGTGGATTGATNTGAAAAAACGGATCGATGAAAAGTTTGAGAGATAAATAAAATATCATATTTGATAAGGAAGAAAAATAAAAAGGANTAAAAAATGGATCGATGAAAGTTTGAGAGATAAATAAAATATCATATTTGATAAGGAAGAAAAATAAAAAGGATGGAAAAGTGGATTGATTAACTTTATTTCAAACTCATCAAAATCAATTCCTCTAAAATCGAAAGGAAAGTAGATGAAAAGTTAATTATTTGTGTTGAGATATATCTTATTTGTCTATATATTATGTATACATTAATTTTATATAAAAATACAATGATAATATATATATATATATATAAATAAAAAAAATTAAAAAAAAATTATCTTAACTAGAGGTAAAAATTTTCGACTTACTACGATAATACAACTCGAATTCGACATGCACTTGATTATAACTCGAGACGAACTTGAAAATGATCTAACACGCGAACAAGAAATATAAAAGACTCATAATTTNAAATAAAAAAAATTAAAAAAAAAATTATCTTAACTAGAGGTAAAAATTTTCGACTTACCACGATAATACAACTCGAATTCGACATGCACTTGATTATAACTCGAGACGAACTTGAAAATGATCTAACACGCGAACAAGAAATATAAAAGACTCATAATTTTATTACTCAATACGAATCTGACACGATACGATTCGATTATCACCCCTATTTTAGCTAGCACAAAAAAAAAATTAGTCATTTTTATTTTTTATCCATCCAACCAAGCACAAAAGAAAAAAAGTGTATCATTTCTATTTTCTATCTTTGAAGAATAAAAAATGTCTCCCTCCTATTATCCATCCATCCTTCCTGCCAAATAGCTTATAAATTTTCAAGTATTAAATCCAAGNTTACTCAATACGAATCTGACACGATACGATTCGATTATCACCCCTATTTTAGCTAGCACCAAAAAAAAATTAAAAAAAAATTAGTCATTTTTATTTTTTATCCATCCAATCAAGCACAAAAAAAAGAAAATGTATCATTTCTATTTTCTATCTTTAAAGAATAAAAAATATCTCCCTCCTATTATCCATCCATCCTTCCTGCCAAATAGCTTATAAATTTTCAAGTATTAAATCCAAGGAAACAGAAGCTACTTATGACACATAAATTTACGCATGGATGAAGGCAGCTCTGCATATGGAGATGATGGTACTGTTCTATCTTCTGTGTGGCCAGTTGCAATAAATTTTCTGGTTGGTCATCGGCGTGACGAATTAATGACCATTGATGTGGCAAGGAAGGACCACACGGTTAAGGTCGCGCGAAGAAAAATTGATCAGAGGATATTTATAATCGACCATATCATTTCATGATTCATCACAAAATTACATCAAACGACTGTAACTTCAATTTTAAAATATGTAACATAACTTCAAAAAAATAATAACTTTTAGTAAGGTGATCCACTAATTTTATTTTTTTTTCTATTTTTACTTGTGGTGTGTGGGACTCTTAGGCTAAGATCGGCACATGCCCCCTCAATTTTCTTTTTTTGCTTTATTTTAAATATGTATTTTTTGAAATAAAATTTAGATATATTTAATTGTGCTAACTCAAATATTGTTTTTTTTTTGTGATATTGAATTAAATAGACCCCTACCTANAATTGTGCTAACTCAAATATTGTTTTTTTTTTGTGATATTGAATTAAATAGACCCCTACCTAGATAATTATTAATTTTTTAAATAATGTTATTAAAACTTAATTTTAAGACTTAATATATTACGATATTAAGTATAATAATGAGTCTTAATGTTTAATAAACTCTACTATCTATCCAATAGTCACAAATTATTAGGTCCCTATTAATTAAATCTCAAATTATGTACAACTAATATAATTGTTAACTTTTAAACATGTTCGAATATGTTTTGAACATATTGATGTTGTTTTATAATTTTTTTAAATTGTAGGGTTATTTCGTTATTATATAAAAATGTGTGTCGTTGTGTAGTAAATTATAGGATCATAATTGAAAAATTGTTACCGTGATTTTATATCTATAAAAAATATTATTGATAAAATTAATTTGTAACACTTTTAAATAAAAAAAAACATACCCGTATCAATTATAAATAATAATAATTGCTCGCATTCTCCATAAAAACTTTTTTTTTTATTATTTTTTGTTTATAAGTATATCAATTTTTAATTTTTTATATTTAAAAAATATTAAATATAAATTTATAAACTTTTATGATCTATTAAAAAAAATTAAAACTTACTAGTTTCTCCCCATTAAAATTTTTTTTTTGAGATGTTTGACGTTTTTACGCTAACGCTACCACTCTGTGCCATGGAACTAACAACTCTGTTTTGTTTCTTTGCCATGGCAGTCAGGTGGCCCCGACTACGATGTTCCATTGGGAAGACGAGATGGACTCAGCTTCGCCACAAGAAACGCCACCCTTGCCAACCTTCCACCACCAACAAGCAACACCACTGCCCTCCTCACTTCCCTCGCCACCAAGAACTTCGACGCCACCGACGTCGTCGCCCTCTCAGGCGGCCACACCATCGGAATCAGCCACTGCAATTCCTTCACCGGCCGACTCTACCCAACCCAAGACCCAACCATGGACAAGACCTTTGCCAACAACCTCAAAACCGTTTGCCCCACCAGAAACTCCACCAACACCACCGTGATGGACCTTCGATCGCCGGACAAATTCGATAACAAGTACTACGTTGATTTAATGAACCGTCAGGGACTGTTCACGTCTGATCAAGATTTGTACACTGATAAGAGGACTAGGGGTATTGTCACGAGCTTTGCTGTTAAAGAGAGTTTGTTTTTTGAGAAGTTTGTGAATTCGATGATAAAGATGGGGCAGTTGAGTGTGTTGACGGGCACACAAGCACTTTAAGCACGGTTAACAAGGCAGTCCTTGAGCCTCTTGTTGATACACAACAGTGTGGCGGCGGAGGCAGAGGAGGAGGACGAGCAGGGGAGCTGGTCGGAGTTTTAAGCTGGAGGGATGCTGTTTTTTGTGTACTAGTTTATGTAGTGGGAAAATTATACTTTGAACCCCTAAATTATGTCCTCAATTTTTCTTTGCCCTTTGCATTATTATATTTATCACGTTGTTTCTTTAACTAAATTGAATTAATTTCACATGAATTAATTTCACACGGCCTCAAAAACAAATGCGACCAGTATTTTTCAAAAAGAAAATGTACACGTGTCAGGATATAGTGAAATGGAATCAGTTATGCTCCGTTTGGTATGAAAAATGAAAAGGAGGCAGGATGAAAAGTATGAGAGATACACTTTCTATCTTTTAAGAAAGAAAAATAAAAATAATACACTTTCTTTCCTTTGTGTTTGGTTGGATGAATGAAAAATAAAAATGACTATTTGTGTTTTTGTTTTGTGCTGGTTAAGATTATGAGTAACAATCGAGTCATGTCATGTTATGTTATATTCGTGTTGATTCATTATGAATTTGTGTTGAATATTAATCAAATCTAACTCAATTCATTTAATTAATTGTATCGCGTCGAGTTACGAGTTGACCTGTTTTTTTTCGTATTGTGTTTGTAGTCGTCCACTTTCCTTATGATTTTGGAATGATTAGAAAGAAAGTTAATACATCCACTTTTCCATCCTTCCTATTTTCATTCCTTAACAAACATGATATTTTATTTATCTCTCCAACTTTCTATCTTTCTAACGTTTCATCTTTTTATTTTTCTATCATACCAAACGAAGCATTAGTTTAATACACAGAGTAGCTCACATTTGCTTGACTCCCTACAATTGAAGGATATAAATATGTAATTTTTCTGACAGTCTAAATTTGTACATGACCTGATGATCTCACATAACATTATAGTAAAAAGTTTTGTACTCGAATTCTTCTTCCTTTTTTTTCCATAATCATAAAAATTACACGTGGTTGACTCAAAATTTAATCCCCGCAAATAGGTGTGTTGAAGTATATTCTTTTCGATGATTTAATACCCACTACTACCACTTTGACACACAAAAAAGTAATAGGAGAGTGCAATTCTTGGCGTTTTGACTTTTAATTGTTATCTCTAATATTCTTTTTAGTAGAAATTCTAGTTAAGCTTTCAGTTGCCTCATGATCTATATTCTTCAGGCCACTGGAGATCTGTCAATTATCTTGAGCCATCAAAGAATGACTATGCGAACTAGAATACCTGTTTCCAATGTCTACAATCGGGGCAACATGAACTTATTGTTTGTTTCCTCTCTTGGCAAGTTGTTAAAATAAGTACTTGTTTAATTTTGACAGTTAAGTTTGTTTGACTACTGAATGCCAGAAAATTCAAATTCACCCCCCATAGTTCTTTTGCCTTTTGTTTTCTAGATTAAGCAACAAGAGAAACTATCATTGATGTCGAATATATGGAAGGATTCAAGCATCTTGTAACAAGTCAGACTTTGTGTGTCGTGGTACCTTGCATTCCATTCCTATTTGCAACTGATTCGACATGAGATGGTCCCAGACTATAATAAGCCCCAATCCATTAAAACTGTCGATTCTCCACCACCCCACCGCCCCACCTCGACAATAACAATCATCACCACCACTTCCACTACCATTGGCGCTACCACTTCCACAACATCAGCACACTGGCCTTGACTTCCATGTATACCATTGACGATATTTTAGAAATCAAATTGATAAAATTTATACAATGAGCACTCAAGTGACAAAAAATACATATTCTAAAGATCAAAAGTGCTATATATTAACACTATATTTTTTTTATCCCTTCTATAACTTTTTTATAACCAAATAAACAATAAATTCAATATTTTGCCATACACACCACCAATCTTTTTTGCAGTTTCTCTGCTTTAAAAGAACAATATTTCCCTAACACTTATAGTTGATCGAACTTCTTAAAAACCCATTTAGGAAAAGCTTACCATATACCAGAAGAATAATGATGATCCCTAGCTAGCTTAACATACTATATCTGACTTGAAAAACTAATTAATTTTCTCATCATAAAAGCAACCATTAATTATGAATAGGTATTTTCTTCCGAACGGGCGTGTAGTCCACTGTGATGGAATCTTCTTCTACAGTGCTACCATCTTCTTTAGCTGTCCAAAGATTTCCCTCACCGGAATGAGCGGCACCGGCTTCTTCATGGTTGTCTGTACTTGCACTCTGTGTTGCTACAGAACCATAACCTCATCAGAAACTGGCGGTAAAAATTTCAGTTTTCTAAGCTCACAAAAATAAAGAATTGGTTGTACAAAGTAAGTATATGTGAATCAAGCCGATCTTGTCGAGGATGCTCAGATTTGGCAGTAATATAAATGGTAAAGCACAGCTACCGAGCTTTGATTTTTGCTTAGTTCGGGTAGACAGAAGTTTGCAAGTATTCAAGTCAAACTCGATCCAAAACCAAGCTCCATTACTCATTTATAGACAAGATTCTATTAGAGTCAATCCAAACCCACTAGAGCTCTTCTGCACATTGTTTGGTTTTCGCTCGAATATAAAACAAGCATAAAAATTCACACAAATTTTGACTTATTTTGCAGTTTGCACAAGATTAAAATAGCCAAAATCAAGTCGACCTTAAATTGATCAAGAACTAAAAAAAGGAGAGGCCTAGTGTACAAGACTCTCGTGCGATTAAGCGGGGTAGAAAGGCAAGTGTTAGGCAATGGGCAAGCTTACCTTCTTTTTTATAGAAGCTGATTCTTGGTTCAATGTTGATTTTGATAAAAAAAAAATACTGAAATAATATAAGAATAGAATATACCTCCCATCACCACTAACATGAAGCAGAGCAATAAAATAACGAACAGAAGGGCAGCCTTGCATGTTGCAAAAGACTTCATGTGTTCGGATAAAGGCTTTTAGGAACTCTGGAAGACAACAGTGAGAAAGAACAGTATCTGTGGTTTGACAACTGATATCTCTGGACATGTGGTGTTATATTGACCTCGAACTGGTATTTTTTTGTTTACTTTTCATGTTTTGGCTGTCCTATAAGACTATAGCGGGAACCTTAAACACTGCTATGATAATTTTTTTGTAAAGAATTATCTTTCCAACCACAATTTTTTAACTTATAGTTGCAACAAATTCTCAAAGGCACACTATTATATTACGCTTTAATCATTTGTATCGATTAAACCTAGTTTTATGTAGGTAGAGAAACTCGAACGTTATGAGGTACAAATTTATGCTTCGTCGCTTATTCACCGCTGAACCAACTCATGAGGAATAAGGTTACCACAATTTGACTTCAAAACAATCCAGAAACATTAAGATTGCCACAACACAACTTAAAAATGAACATTTATAGACTCGGCGGAGTGAAATACTAGAATATTGGATTGTCAATTAATCGTCATCGAAAAAAAGAAAAGGTTACAGAATGTGGAATAGTAGTCTCATCTAACTTAGTTATTCATAGTAAACATCTGATTTAGTTTTGGATTATGGATTATCATGTTGTATGGTATCTGTTAATTAGTTGAAGGACTATTTGACAAAGCTATGCACAAGCAGATTATTGACATATATGGTTGTGACTGGCTAATGAGATGCCACGATAACATGCAACAAAAGCTTGTAGGAACTTACATATATGTGTGTGTGTGTATATATAATATATTAAATATTTTGAGAAAGAGAGAGAAAAAAGGCTGATATTATCATTTTTGCATGGTGAGGAGTTCATCAAGTTGAGTTACCTTGCATGATTGAATGACCAAACTGGTGGTGTTGGTTATGCGTTTGTTATGGGATGGATATGGGAACTGGGGAACACGATGTGGCCGGTGGCCCTCAACCTGTATTAGAGATGTCAATGGTGGGGGTTCAATTCCACAGTGTCTAGTTTGGATTTTTTTTTGTTGCTGCCGGCAACTGTCACAAATTGCGGACAATAGACATGACTCGAAAATCCAATATATGATCGAACGATCAATTTAAAAATATTTGTGAGTTTTAATTTAATTTTAATTAACGAATTTAAATGATAAACAACTAGTAAACTTATTAGACCGACATGAACTTGGTTAAACTTTACTTATATACGGTTTATATGTGTTTGACGTATTTTCGGATGGCGGGTGTGCCAAAGGTTAATTGGACTTAGAATTCAAACACATACAATTTTACATACTCAAACCGGTGTGAGTTTTTAAAAATTGTGATTGTTCAAGTAATTATTGGGCGTTGTAAGGTTACCTTTTGAGTTCTTTTTTATACCTTTGAGTTCAAGGACTTTAAATAATTTTTTAACTAATAACGTAATTAAATGAAACGTCAAAAAGATCACTGGAATGAAAAGCAGCAAATGCACTAAATTCAAAAAATAAAACAAGTATTGTACTTAGCTTTGAATGAAAGCAGTAAAATATCATCGGAGTAATAAGTTACCAAAAAAAATAAAGTTGCTTGGCCTATGTAGAGTTTGTTGTGTTTGATTGTGGATCCTTTTTCTGTGACCTGACTTCTGTTATTTACTGGGATGGCCCTCAATCGTCGAAGTCATTTTTTTCAGCCATTACTATAATCGTGGCCCTCTTTCTAGGGATGCAACTCGGGCGGGTTGGACGGTCAATCCTAAGTATATAATCTTCAACTCTAACCTTAACCTTAGCCTTAATTTTAACCCTAACCTTAATCTTAACCCTAACTCTAACCCTACCTCGGGTTGAAAAACTCAACCCGACCATTGCCCGAGTTTAATTCGGGCGAGCTCGAGTTGAATTTGGGTTATCGTACTGATTTTGGGTTACTTTACGGGCTGATTTCGGATTACTTCAATCAAGGTTTTAACATAAAAACCATAATATTAAGAACTCAATGGTAAAGATAATGCAACCACAACCATATATAACACAAATAAACACAACCAGAATCCTTGCACAAACATAGAGTTCATTGCTCAAATATAGAGTTTACTACTTAACCAAAATCCTTGCACAACCAGAGGCGAAAACGAAGGAGGCTGAGAGAGGACTGAGGGCTGAGACTCTGACGTAGGAGACTGAGAGGGAGGAGG